CTTGTGATTGTGTGCGGTCATTATTTTCTTCTAGTATCGTGCACATACGAGCTTCCTACACATACGTATCAAACATAAAACGAGAATGTGATGGAACATAATTCGCAAAATCGCAACCCTATTTCAACGTAGTTTCTACGTCAAAATATGAAGAGGTAGCGCAATGCAAGCCTGAGTAAGAAAATATATCAGAAGCATATATAAGTAATATCAGTAAGTATCGGTAAGCATCAGTAACATTAGTCGTAACTGTTGATGTATTCAAACTAGCGAATACAGTAAACACAAGGGAAAAACTTTTTCTAACTAATTAAAGCATTTGTCATTAAGATCCGTGACTGCTGCTTTAGGTGTAGAAAATATTTTTGCCAGTTTATTTGCTTACGATGATGTTATTAATGTGGGAACATCGCTGATGTTCATGGTTTTCGATATAGCTATATATATCATATCGGCAGTGCTTCTGGATTATATGTTGCATGCACCTATTCCCCTCTGTTATCGCGCATTTCTTGCAAATGTGAAAACAGTGAGTATTTTTTGTTTCTTTATAGTTTCTTTTGCAACTATCTTCATCACTAACGAGTGTTAAGACTTCCAATAACATCGAATCCTATCACGATTCATGGCACGAAAAGTCTACAAAAGTAGTTGAACCAGCCCTACTAGTAGATTCTGTGAGTAAAGTATGGGAAAACACCGGAGAGTTGGCTGTGGACAAAGTTAACATGAAGGCTTACAGTGGACAGGTATTACCATAAATTTGCAACGATAAATACTGGTGATTGTATTTTTGAAGGATATTAAGAACGAGTAAAATGCAAAAAATTCAAACTTGTTCTTGAAAATCTATTTTAGTTCGCAAATGCAGTAATTGTGTAGAGCTGAAACATACATTAGTCAAAGCAATTTCCATTTCTACTTTAGACTTTTTCTTACAGAGCTATATCTTAAGCAACGTTTTCATGATATCTGATCCCACAAATAGGCGGTTTGGCCACCGTTTACCGCGTTGTCGCTTGCTAACCGTATACACCTGCAGACTGCGTGAATTACACCTTGCAGATACTATGAGCATATCAAAAGCTTATCAAGTTTGGCTGACTTGCTCAAATTGTATTCGTGCAATTTGACTAAGTCATTCAATTCTGCGTTCATTCGTACAAATGTTATGTTCTAAACTTTGGAGAAGTCTTGTATGCGTATTTCGCGAATGGCCAAATTCCTTTATATGCTATGAATTTATTTCATTTATGAAAAAATTGAACTCATTAAAAAGGCTATTGAGGTAAGCATCGGCTTGTACTATGGATATGGTAATAGCGAACCAATGTCCTAAGGCGGGAACCCGAGATAATAGCACGCAAAATGTTGGACGAATTTTAAATCACTTTAAGTATTGTCACCAGAAACGAGCTGTTCGCGTTCAAACTCTCTGTGGATTCTGATCTACAAGTCAGGTCGGATGCAGACCGGATACAAAGGCTACGCAGATTTATATTCGTATCGGAGCTAATCATAGGTAGTATGCTCGCGTTTCCATTAAAATGGCTATCGAGGTAAGCATCGGCTTGTACTATGGATATGGTAACAGCGAACCAGTACAAGCCAATGCTTACCTCGATAGCTTTTTAATGGAAACGCGAGCATACTACCTATGATTAGCTCCGATACGAATATAAATTTGCGTAGCCTTTGTATCCGATCTGTATCTGACTTGTGGATCAGAATCCACAGAGAGTTTGAACGCGACCAGTTTGTTTCTGATGACAATCCACTCTTCTCTGAGGTCAACTTTGGAGCTCAAAGTGATTTAAAACTTGTCCAACATTTTGTGTGTTATTATCTCGTGTTCCCGCGTTAGGACTGTAAGAGCCATATTAAAACAACTTTATGGCACTGCCTGCAATAAGCACCTAAAAGGGTAGACGCTTTCGATTATTCGAGACCGTCTATGCTCCTTGACCCTTATGTATTAAAAGCAGTGTCTCGGCAGAATGAGCCTACCTCAGACTTTGGAATAGATGGATAGGAGGCCCTCCAAGTGAACCAAAACAGCAACTTCGCGCCGAAAATATGAACGCTGCAAGCCAGGGTGCGGCCCAGCCGTCGCTCCCCTTCCTCCTTTCGCTCCCTTAACACCTTATTTGGACGAGTATGAAAACGCGTTAGAAAACGTTAGAAAACGCGCCGTCACTCGTAGTTTCGTAGGGCAAAATTGTTCTAGAGCTCTCTACCTCCTTACTCTGTGTCTCTGACGGCAGAAAAAAACGGCTCACTCGTCCGCGCAAAAAAGGGGGTTTTCCCCATTTTTGCGCTAAGGCAAGCTTATGCTGTGATTCAGGGGGCCCAGAATAGCCCCAAATCTGCCAAAACCCCGAAGTTGAAAATCTGCCAAGCCGCTGCCTTTAAAGTCTGCCGGTTTCTCCTATTTAATAATACCACATGATATCAGATGAAATTTAGATTGCGCCGGACTCATGCAATTCTCTGAACTCTCATGAGGACAGATATTGTGCTAGGGATTTGTACATAAGCGGTCATATGCACGATAGAAAATTAGCTGCTTGAAATTGGGTGGCAAGATGTCCATGACGTTAAAGTCACCTTGCAGGCCTGCATACTGCAATTTTTCTTAATAGCTTCACTGAGATCATCACAAACAAAGAGAACGCAAAGTGGGATTTTAACAAGTTGCTCTTCCGCGGCCAGCAGTGTATGTTGTTTACAGGGCAACCATTAAACCATAAGTGCGATAGTGTGAGAATTTGCTTACCCTCCCTTCACCCCTGAGCCGGTACCAAGGTGACCCTCTTCACCAGAAGTTGAAAAAAATTAACAGTAAGGTAAAGTTAAGTATTATTTGAGAGATAATTGTACGAAAATTGTTTGTGTATCGGAAAGAAGGAAGAGGATTTATAGGCTTTCACGAACTTCCGAAAGGAAAAAATAGTGGCTTCTGTAGATGAACAGCAACATCAGCGAAGAAAGTTCCGTGGTATAACTTCCCCTTTGGTTCAAGGAATAAATAGTTTGTTTAGAGCCCGTGCATAGAAGTACTTAATGAAAGGTGTACCTAGTGATTTCTGGACACTTACGAGTTTTTTTTTTCAGCATGAAAGAAATTCATAAATTTTGTAGATGAATAGCTGGTACAAGGAGATAATAACCAACGAAACCTCCTTTGTCCTCCTTTTTCAGAAAATATTTAGCTTGTTTGAGATCCGTCCAAAAAGTGCCTGGGTGAAGGATGCGACTTTTTAACGTAAAAAAATTTGAAAAATTCAAATTTTTGTAGATGACCATTTTGCAGAGATGGTCACCATTAAAACCGTCTTGTCCTCCGCTTTCAGAGAATAAGCACTTTAGCTGGAGTCCGTTTAAAAAAGTGCCAGTGAAGGGCGGTGAAACTCTTATAATGGAAGTGCTCGAGTAAACGTCTTTTTACAATGGTAAAAAAGCCTCTACTCGAGCATTCCCATTATAAGAGTCTCACCCACCCTTCACCCGGCACTTTTTTCAAAAGACCCCAGCCAAAGTATATACTGAAAGCGGAGGACGAGACAAAGGTTATGAATTTTTTATGTTAAAACTAGAAAATCTCCAGAAATCACTAAGCACACCCTTTACCGAGCCACTTTTTTGGACGATTCTCAGACATGCTATATATTTTCTGAAAGCGGAGGAAGAGGCGGTTTCGGTTTCGAAATTGATCATTTCCTTTTACAACTTATTTATTTATAGAAGTTACGGATTTTATCCTAAAAATTCGTGGCTATCCAGAAATCACTATTCACACCCTTCATCAGGCACTTTAACAGATCCCAAGTGAAGTATAAATTTCTGAGAACGGAGGACCAGATTGTTTTGAGAATAACTACCTTGCTGATGTTGCTTTTCGTCTACAGAAACTAGAAAATTTTTTCTTTTAAAAAGTTCGCAAATGCATGAAAATTGTCTAACTCTTTTCTAAACAAATGTTCTTGCATGAACTTTTTTTTATGATAATTTCAAAAATAAGCAGGGTGGTGTAAAAAAGGGAAAGGGAAAAATGTAAAAAAATGTAAAAAATAAAAGCTGCTGGTCAGAAACATAATTGTGTGCTAATCCAGCAGCACATCGGTTCACATTTCAGAAAAAAAACCGGTTATGACAAGAATTGAAAATTATAAACTTTGATTAGGAACAATGATGGGAGAACACCATGGCTTCCCCTTTCCCCTGTCAACATTTCATAATTTCTTCACCAAATGAAACACCCTTTCATAGTACAGCAATAAGTGAAAACTTGTATAAAATAGGTGCATTCAAATAAGGAAACCAAAAATTGGCGGGATTTTCGAAATTGTCTAATACATGTTTTACGAGCAGGTGACCGTGCTTCTCGGACATAATGGAGCGGGGAAGAGTACTATGTATGCGATGATATGTGGAACGGCTTCTGTAACAGAAGGTGAGTTTTGAACAGAGATAAATACCGAGTAGCATAAGCGCTCAGCAAAAAGATGTATGTTATTAAGATCCCTTCGGGACACCAATAGCACATTTGCTTTTCAAATGCTAAACTTTCTTTATGAAGTCTTGAATTTCAGGTTTTGCCCTTCCTGTAATCAATGTATTAGGTGTCGGATAATTGCTGTTAACTTTCAACGTAAAATTCTGGAAAATTTTGGAAAACTCTTAGAATCTTGGAATTTGTTCCTATGTAGGGCTCGAAAATGTGCACACAACTCATTGACTCGCATGACGGTCGTATCAAATCAACAGCCATTTTACGATCAAAACTTTTATGACAGAAGACCATCAGCTTTTCCAACTACTACCCCCAGAAACAACATCTGGCGAATAAAAAACCAGATGCTTCTATGCAGACATGAAGGATTACGTCAGCGATAAAAATTCATTTTGCAGGTTTGCTGTGAACTGCTTAAACGCGAAATTTTGGTTGCCATCAAAATAGAATTGAGGATTGGGAAGTTGGTATGCGAGCTGCACAACAAATACAAACCTTTGAGCTTTTCTTCGCCGCACCTACTCAATTTTATACTCGAGAAGAAAAAATCGCTATAAACACGGTCGTCCAACAGAACGACAGCGGAGACCGACCACATTCTCATCAACCAAAAGTGGAGCTTGTTCGATGTCTTAGTAGTTTCATTCATCTGCAGTGGCTCCGATCACCGCCTGCATCGAGCGAAGGTACGACTCAGTCGAAAGCTGAAATAGAACTTCTGCTGCAATGTCACAAGAAACAAATCAGTCTTTTAAAGCTTTAAGAGTTCATATTAATTGACCAGTCATCGGGAGGACCCAACTTACCATTATGGCTGGCTTCTGAAAGGACTGCCAGCCCACGGAGCTTGACTCAGTGACTTCCGTGAAGAACTTTTGGAGCATTTTGAAGAGGCATGTAGCAAGTGGTACCCGAGTAGCTGACTGCTGCCGCAATCAGCCGCCGCAGCTGCTAGCAAAGCCGCTGCAGATTTTACAGCAATAATGCTCATCGTTCAGAACTTTTGCAGAGGAGTTCTGTCGCACGTCGTCCCGCTGAGGTGCGAAATTAGTCTCGGAAATAGCGTGACATCCTCGAATCTATTGAACAGCAGAAAATTCAATTTTTTGAAAATCATGCGAATAAGCAAAGCTGTAAAGAGAGGAGTTTTTCAAAGAAAAATGGTCACAAGAAAATGTTTTTGAAAACCCAAGATAACCATAAGCTGAAATGTTCAGGAAATCTTTAGTTACTAAAAATCTCCTTTCTTAGTTTTTAGCGTCGGAAACGGACTAGACATTTACAGAAAAACGCCATGCATTTTTTTATAAGTTTTTTTATTTTATGATTTAATGATGTTAAGTAAGCTTCAAAATCAAATAGCAAAGATCATCAAAAGTCAAAATCTCTTATTTAGTAGTTGCAAACAACAACTTTAAGTTCAAGCTTACGTGGAAAATCATCATTTTCAGGTATTTTGAAAGAAAGTAATAATGAAAAAATTTAAAAACCTAGAATTTGTTGCAAAATAAAGAGTGATACAAGAATCACTTATAATAATGATGCAAGGAACAGCATTTTGATTCCGAATTGTTGACGGAAAAGCGAGTTTAATTTTAAGAGATTTCCATTGAAAAAAACTGAAATCCTAAAGCGTTAAAGTCAAAAAATATTCGATTTTTTTTGTTTGTTCATCTTTGCAAGTGTTTGTAAACTTTTTTGTATTCGAATGTATCACTCTCAATAAAATACGAATTTTTTCTGTTCAGAATGATATATTAGGTTGTTCGGAAATTAATGCCCGTTTTGAATTTCAACCGCAATAATTCACACACCTCTCACTTCTGCATAGGATGCAGAGTACCATTCGATAAAGTAAAGCAAGCTTCACAAAAAGGCCGTCTTGCTTTTGCAACAGCTCTGATCCAGCACGAGTTTCGAGCCAGAAACTAAAAAGATTTAACTGCCCGAGAAATTGAGAAAAATCGTAACTCAGTTCATAAGAATTTTACAGAAATTCTTACTTGCTCACGTAAACACTATCCACATAAAACATCTATTTACGCCTTTGCCTTATTTTTTTCTCTGTTAGAAATCAAGTAAACGGAGATTTTCGTGCATTTGCCAAAGTCATATTGTGTCGTCCCCACATAGATAGTTGTATACTACAAGCCTGTAGAAGTACAAACGTAAATTCTTAGTTCTCTATAAGCTTTAGTTCTCAAGAAATTTGAATTTTAGCTTGGACTACCTAACTAAGGAAAGCTATATTCGGTATTTCTCGAGAACTAAAGCTTATAGAGAGCTGAAAATTTAAGTCTGTACTTCTACAGGCTTGTGGTATACAACTACCTATGTGGGGACGGCACAGCATCACTTTGGCAAATGCACGAAAATTTCCGTTTTCTTGGTTTCTAACGGAAGGAAAAATACGGCAAAGGTGTACATGGATGTTTTATGTGGATAGCGTTCACGTGAGCTAGTAAGAATTTTTGTAGGATTTTTGTGAACTGAGTTACGATTTTTCTTAAGTTTTTGGGCAGTTGGTTCTTTTTAGTTTTTGGCTCGAAACTCGTGGTGGATCAGAGCTCTTGCTAAAGCAAGATTGCCACCTTATAGAGATTGCTTTGCTCTATCGAATGGTGTTTTGCAACCTCTTTAGAAATGAGAAGTGTACAACTTATTGCGGTTAGAATTCAAAACCTGCATTAACTCTGTTACAACCTAATATATGCCGTTCATCAGTAGTAATATTCTACCGTCCTTGGCTCTATAAGAATACGTCTAAACATGAAATTCCTATGTCGATGTCACCCAGTTGGCTCTGTCGATTTTCTACGTGCGGACTCACATGGTAAATAGAAGGTTGGTTTGTTCCATTTGGTTATTATGCTGGCTGCTACTCCCAAGCTAGGTCTAGACTGGCAACATGAAGGGCAGTTCTTGACGCTAGGTTGGATAGGTCAATTTTTTTCGATTTTTCGGGCTGCTGAGTCTTCTTACAAGGGAAGGATAGTTGGATGCCGCGGCCATTCCTAATGATTTTTGTACCAAAAAATGCGCCTTCGAATGCAGATTCTAAATCTGTGCTCGAAATCTGCGAAACGATCTTTTGAAGAAAGTTATGAACTTTTTTCCTTGAAGATTTAGCCTACTTTTGGATAGTAAAAATCACCAGATTTGATCTAGCCTACCGCTTGATGCTACTGAAGAATATTTTAGACGTAGTCATATTTATTTAGACTATCTGGATCATACTCAGCATTTGGAAAGGAGAGAAAATCTTTTTATTGATGATTTTGACCCTCCGCAGGAAGCAATTTTTTAATGAAAAAAATCATAATTCCATTCAGATTATCGTTTCGCAGATATGAAAAACAGTCTACGAACTAGCATTCAAGAGCGCATTTTTTGGTACACAAATCATTGTGAATGGCTACGGCATCCAAGTATCCTTCCCCTGTTAGTTTTTGGCTCGAAACTCGAGGTGAATCAGAGCTGTTGCAAAAGCAAGACGGCTTTTTTGTAGAGCTTGCTTTGCTCTATCGAATGGTACTCTGCATCCTATTTAGAAATGAGAGGTGTATGACTTATTGCGGTTGAAATTCAAAACGGGCATTAAATTCCGGGCAACCTAATAAAATATCGAGGATATCATGCTATCTCTGAGGCTGATTTGCACCTCAGCGCGACGACGTGCGACAGAACTCGGAGCCCCACTGCAGACGGGGCCCGGCACGAGGTGGGCAGACGGGGTTTTCCAAAAAAGAATTTCCCTTTGACCCCAATAGTTTTTATAAATACCCCCTTGAGCTCAAAAATGACGCTTTGTGCTTGTGGAACGAGAGCACCGGCCACACTTCTCCTGAAAGCGCTCAAAAGCGCCCAAAATGCTCAAATTCCTCTAAGTACTCCTCACCTGTATCAAAATAGAAAACAGGAAGAAGAATAAACAAGGAAAATGATGAAAGAATGAAAAAATATTAAAGAGACGCATTCATAGGACTGAGAGACGCCGTTCCTACGCGTATCGATTGATTGAGGCGCGCTTTCCATCTTATAAGGAAAGGATCCTCAGTCAAAGTGGGGTTTGCACACGTGATGCATATCATTCTATTGGCCTTGGAGCACTAATACCAGATCCGTGTTCCTTAGCTGCTCAATGATCTTCTGAGAAAAGTCTTGAACGACGATTCCACACGTTGACCATTGCACATTATAAGTCGGAGCGCCAAGGAATGTACAGGAGTGAACGGACGGGAGGGTGGATAGCTGCGGAGACTATGGAGCAGTGGTGAAGAGTTCGCGTCCTTATGGAGCCAAACCTTGCATTTTTGCAAATTACATTTTGTGAATTCGCAGGCGATTTCCGACGAGTGTCTGCTTGCTTGAAAATAGTCTGCGAATTCACAAAATATAATATGCAAAAATACAAGGTTGCCTCTATAGGGACGCAAACTCACCACTGCGCCATGGTCTCCTCCACCGTCCACACCTGTACATTCCTTGGCGCCTCAGACTTGTAATGTGCAGTGGTCATCGTGGAGAACCGTCGCTCATAACTTTTCTCAAAAGAACATTGAGCAGCTAAGGAACACGGATCTGGTATTAGTGCTCCAAGGTTAATAGAATGATATGCATCACGTGCGGAAACCCCACTTCGACTGAGGTTCCTTTCCTTGTCAGAAAGCTAGGCTGCTGATGCGATTTTGGGCTCTGACAAAGACAAGAGGAGGAGCGAACCAAAATCTCACCATATAGTAAACTTTAGGTGAACAACAGATTTATGTAAAAATTTTGATGAAATTATGTGAACTGAAAGTTTTGCCCACCTCAGGTGGGCATTAGGTGGGCAACTGCCCACCTAATTTGGAAAAAAGTTAAGCACGCTTTTCATTCACATAAGTTTTTCGTAATTTTTCATACATTGTTTCTTAGTCCTACTGCGCGTATATACACCAAGTCTCGCGCGATTTCGTTTTCTCTGCGCTGCAAACGAGCCATTTTTCCATTTTTTTTTTGATAGTGAGAAATTTTCAGAAAAAAAGCTTGCCACAACCTTCATTCACATAGTTTTCCAATGAAACTTCTAAGATAAGCCCTGCAGGCCCGTGTTCATGTACCTACTAAGTTTCATACCGTATGGTCATCTGTGCGCTGCAAACGACCATTTGAATTCACATCTTCATTTACCAGTTTTGCGAAATTTTTGGAAAAAATGCTTATTACGCCTCTCATTCACATAAGTTTTTCATAAAATTTCATGCTTTGTTTCTACAGCCTCTCTTTGTTCGCTTACGTAATTTGATGCTATATCATTACGCCTGCATTGAGAACTGACCATGTAATCATGCTGTGCGTTGAGGTTTATGAAAACTACTTTCCGATGAATTACATGTATAAGGTAAGCATGATTCGACCTTCTTTTGCTTGCACTTGGAATCTTCTTCCAGGGCTCCGCCCCGGATCCCGCAAAAACGATATCCCCTTTGCTTTTTGACCCCAAAAAGATTTTCAGCTTGTCATTTGCCCACCTCGTGCCGGGCCCTGACTGCAGAGAACGGAATTACTAGCAAGCTCCACTTTGCGTCATAATGTGGTCGATCTCCGCTGAATCGATCTGTTAGACGACCATGTTTACAGCGATTTTTTCTTCATATAAAGTATAAGTATAAAATAATAATCTTATATGTAAAGCTGAATGTCTGTTTGTCTGTCTGTCTGTATGTCTGTCCGTATGTCTGTCTGTCTGTCTGTCTGTACGTATGTTCCGAATAGAAAATTCCATTTCTGAACCGATCGGGACCAAACTTGGCACACATACACTTCGGGCCCCGGCGGGTGTCATAGGCTACTTTTCGTCATCGATCGATATCGATTTTATCGATTTTTTGCAAAATTTGAGCTACAGGGGGGTTGGCACAGGGGGT